GGAAATATGGAGAAAATTAAAACAAAAGTTTTGGACTGTTAAAAAATAACAAAATTCCAAAGCTTACTAAAATGACATAAGTACACGTCTCCTTTAATGCACATCAGAAAAAACATTTTGAAAATTCGTAAACCTCAAATGGGCTACTAGTGGAACAAAAAAATATTGCACCTTTTTTTCAAGATAGCGACCGAATGACAACAGCCCCAGCCTTAAAAATTCAGATTTAGACTCATGGCCAACCCCCTTACGAAACTTTCAAAAAATAAATCGCTTTCTGTCAAATATTGCAATTCTTTATAAAGTAGGTAAAACAATGTTCGTTCACAAATGCAGAAATTTATAAACTTCAATTATAGAAATTTGTTATAAATAATAATCTAAAGTTATAGTTTTGTGTCATTATGTTCTTTTTATCCCATTCCTTAAATTTTTAAAAATTTTCAGTTTTTCAGCATGAGAACGATAGTAGTTAGAACAATTACCTCTTAAATACAATTCATTTGAATTACTTATTAGGTACTCGTGCAACTCTTATTATACTTTAAACAACGAGATATTTAGTTACAAATTAGGTTTTGTTTTAAAAAATAAAGCTTGTAATTACCATTCAGTTTGCGAAACTAACAGAATAACAGCTGAAACTCAATAGCATGCATACTGCTTGCTTTTAAAAACAGCATCCTTAACAAAAACAGCGCATTTTTCTTTCACGTTTTGCATATTTTTGTTTTTACTTCCAGAGTTCAGACTAGGAAAATATAAATGTATCCATTTGCTAAATTGTTAATTTTACATTGTCTAGACGTTCCATAAAGTATGAAAAGAGTTTTCTCTTTTCTGTCTGTTTGCGATGTTATTGAAGAGATAATTTCGACACTACAGAACTAATTGCTGTGAAATTGTCAATGTTTTTTAAAAATATCGTAAAGGTGATAAAGTTCTAACAACATCATGACGGCATTTCAATATTTTGCTAGGTAAATGCAATTTAAATATTTCTAATATATAATATAGTTCTGATTTGTTAATTAATATATACTTATTTATTATATAAATATAATATATGTATTTTTGCCTTCAAGAGCTAGATTTAAAACAAAATATTTTTATAGCATTAAGATTTTATAATTTAATTTAGCAAAGATATGTGAAGAAAGCAATAAAAAATTACTTCCCTCATTTTACAGAAAGTTTAGAAAAACATTACTGTCATTATTATCACACTATACCTATCCAAATTGATACGTTTGTCCCCACTAAAAAGTTGAACCTAGATTTGGGTGTTTGTGTTTCAAGGACAACTGAAGTTCCATTCTAAATAACTTTAGACCAATTTTAGAAACAAATATCAAAAACATACTGATTTAAAAAATGATCTTCAACATCTTTATTTTCAATTTACGTATGGTACAAAAATTTCTGAATTCACAAAAGAAATTCTGGAATATGAAGAAAACATTTAAAATTTATTTTATATTTACTCTTCTGTATGTGTACTCCACAATTTCAAAGACTCAAATATTTTCGCAAGAACAAAAATTTCGCGAGAACAATCTGTCTGTGCGGTATAAAGTAAAATCCTATATTAATTCTTATCCTATGAAATACAAGACCCCCCCCCCCTGAAGTAGAAAGAACACCATAAATTCTAAATATCACTTCCAAAATATATGGTTGTCCAATTCTATATCGATAAATAAATACTTTCTTACTTCAGGGTTCAGTAGTAAATTTTTGAAGGGCTTTTTTTAGGTCAAAGAAACCGGGTGCGTTTCCAAATTTACTCAAATAAGCGTTTGGACGAAAAAAATCAAATATCGTCCTCTCCTAGAGTTTAGCGCAAGCACTTTTAAAGTTGAACAGCTTTTCAGAAACATCACTTTCTCGTGGATTCTAAGGCCACGTTGCTGTAGGAATTCACAAGACTGCAAAGCATCTAACCCAAAATCAACTCATATTGTTCTATATCTTCAGAAGATCTAGCAAGATAAGTATCCAAACAGCTTGATTCCAACAGGCATAACAAAGCAGTTTATTCTTTTCTGAAGTACTTCGTTGTTTTGGGACTCTTAACCCTGCATCTTGGTTTCCCAATTTTTTTTTCTTGACTCAAACAATTTGAATGCAGCTTTTGATGGTACTAACAGAATTAAAGATTTAGCTGTGTCTTGTCATCGTACATTTCGATTATCATTATATTTATCGCACATGTTTCCAGGTGTCAAAATGCATTTCAAACCTGCAGTACCAAAAAAATTAACTCGAGGACAACTGAATTAATTCGGTTTTAATAAATAATCTAACACCGCCTAAGTTGATTTAGTCGTAAGGATTTCCGCTTTCCCAAGCAATTATTGGAGCTGTTTGTGCCGGTGTGATTGGAATAAGATCTTTTCTAAACCGGCTGGTTGGCCCGGTAATGAACCCGTTCAATGTGCCAGTCACATTCAGCTCTCTTACACTTCTTTAACTGCCTATCCTGTTGATAAAGACCCCTTAAAAGAGACGTAAATTTATATTATCGAAATCGACTCAGCCTAATTCCGTTTAAAGGCAGCATTGACGATGCTTACCCATCATTTCGGCGGAATCCCACACGCCTGGCGCTAAATTGACTTTAAAAAATCGAAGCTGAACGCCGGTAAACACCGGACCTGGAAAATTAAGGTATATTGGGAATAACCGAATTCAGACGGGTTGGATGATTAAAAGTGAAGTGCATAACTAAAATATTAAATTCGTATTTAAGCGAAAAGCATACTCGTGTTAGAAGATAATGAAATTAGTTAAGTACTTAGAAAATTCGTTTTGCCGTAAAAAATAAATGCATACAGATTTGTCTTGAAACGGAATTAACTACAAAGCATTTTAAAAGTAGAAATTATTAATAAAATATTTATATTTCTAACATACATACAAAATTTGACAGCAATCGGTCCAGCAGTTTCGGAGATGACGTTTGTAATAAAAATGGATACAGACACCACACAGATAGACAGACAAACAGACGGAAACGGGACACTACTTTTTTCGTACTGTTGGAGTCATGAAACGTCGCGAAAACATAAAAGTGGACATTCGTCCGATGGACTCGATTACTATACTTTCTTAGCTTATACTCGGGACGTAAAAATGTGTACTGTCTATGAAATATTTGTTTTTTATTTTACAGAAAATGTTATTTTTTTAACAGGTATCTGGTTTCTAAAACCGTAACCTTGTCACTTTCCGTGTTTTTTATTTTGTCTTAGGCTTGGGGTTAAAGACGAAGTTCACAGGAAGCAACATCACTTTATTTGACTTAATTAATTGCAAGTCGTAGGCGTCGTAGCTCAAAAATCAAAATCAACAAATCTCCAAAACTCGTTTTTATTGGCTTCAATAACCAAGTTGTGGCTAATAAAGCGAAAACACTATCGAAGCAGCTTCAGTCAATGAATAAAACTTCGGTTTATGACTAAGGTCCTCTTTAGTCGCGAGTTATGAAGATGAGTATGAAATAATCCTTAGTGTCATGCATAAGTATGGAGATAACGTTTTAGTTACACGGTAGAAAAATAATATTAAATAATGCCACCATTAGGGAATAAATGTTCATTATTCAGCAAAATAACTTCGTAGATTACTAAAATTCAGGAGACAGAACATCTTTGCTTCCAAACAGCCTTGTTGGGACTTTTAAGCCATGAGTGACTCATTCATCCAGTGCACATATACCTGTAATATCTTTGAAAAACATGGATCCTGCTTCCAACGTCTACAGTTTTAATTGAAACCGTAAAACTTTATAGGGTGAAGGTGTTTTATTTCTTGCTTTAGTACTCGTGCGTCAGAACATTAAACCAGTTAAGCCACAGCGGGAGGTATATTAATTAAAAACCTCAAAAATTTGAGTGCTTTCATATTTTCCTAACGTTGTAAATAACAGGAGGAAACTTAAAATTTATTTCTGTTCTGAAAAAGAAGCGCCTTAATCGTGATTCATGATAAAAGGTCAGGAAGGTATAGTAAGGCATATTTCCAGTATATGTCCTACGGGACTATTCTTCGCGTTTCCTGTCATCTATACTCCCACAAGACTACATGCAAAGAATACTCTGGCCTCCAGTATTTATCCAGAGTTTGATATTAAATGCGACGAAAGTTATAAACGTACCCGTTTTGAATTAAAAGAGTTTCCTTACGTAAGTGTTTAAGTGCATGTTATAGGTACCGAGTCGTTATAAATACAACATGTGAATGAGTATTATCGGATAAATCAAATTTATTAATTGAGTTAGACGGTTTAAACTGTTAACGTTGCACCATGGAGTTTGATTTATTAAATTTGTTGCACGCAATGGGCTTCCAAAAGAAGCTTTCAAAGTTTCTTTTAATCTCTTTGAGCTGGTAAATGGCACTATGATTTCGCGCTGCTGTTGGAAATATTGCTTTATTACATAGCGTATATTTCATTTTAAAATGGGTTTACCGACATGACAAATCAGCAATCTGCCAGTAGCAGAGTCTACAATTTAACATCTAGATAAAAAAATAAACAGAATTTGGTGGTGTTTATGATGGCTTTGTTTTTTGTTTAATATTTCTTGCCTTCTATTTGCATATTTAAATTGAACTGTGCCATGTGTCCGCTTCGTGTTATGTGTGCCGCCGCAAATTTAAACTGCACTTTGCAACAACTGCTTTTATGATATTTTTACTTTCCCCTTCATTTAACGTAATGCTTAGTGCTGCAGGTTGTATACTGTTGCAGAAATCTGAATTCTAGGATTGTTTTTATGTTTAATAGAAAACGGCGAGACAAATTCTTATTATAGCACAATACACGAATTTTTGCAAACTTTGCATTCTATGTTTTATTATTTTACAAAAAAACAAATTAGGTACTACACAGAATACTAAGATAATATTAAAGACAAATAATAAGTTGTTTTGTGTCAAACTTCTGTTATCTGTGGGATGTTGCGCTTGATTCTAATTATGTTTTTTTTTTTCAGTTCGACCACTTCATGTGGAGATAATGATTAGTAACAACCCACTTTCAGCGGACCGAGTATATGAAATACCATGCCAAACGTTCGGATCAAGACCACCGGCTAAAATTACCTGGTCCATGGATAACAAAGAGCTACTTCCACCAAAATATAATTACTCCCAAACGGTAGGTTTTTTGATGGATTGTTACGAATGTTGATTTAGGTAATTAAAGTTTAAATAATGGTAATTGTGCAGCAAAGAGAAACATGGATATTATTTCATGGAACATTTACAATTAACCTTTTATTTTGCCATTGTTTATACACAATTTACTAATAAAAGCCGGCGAAAAAGCTCTCACCGCAGCTTAATTTAGCTTTTGTTTATTAATACAATTTTACCTATTGACGGAATTTTTGTGAGTAGGTCTCTTAAGACAAATCTTAAATACAAAAGGTTTTTTGGAATTTCGTATTACACAAAAATGAATGTTTTTCGTTTTCGTCTGCCCGTCTGTCGTTAGCTCGAAGAAGATGGAATTAACTAGTCAAAAAAAATACTGAAATAAAATTGAACAAAAGTTATCACTATTACTATTATTCCACAAGTTGGTCAAGGAATACAGGACCCCGCCCTTATAGACAAACGGGTAAATCAGAAGACCGAAAAAGAAAATAGATAAATAAGATAAATACTTCATGCAATATACACGAAGTAACATACTGTACACAAATCAATTCTATACAAATGCAAGATTTTAAAAATAATTTTCGAATACAATCCTCATATAAGTAGTAACAAATAGAAAAGTGTTTGCCCTAAATAGAAATATGAATTTTAGTTTTATGCCTAGGCGGAGTTTTGGTAATCTATAATCTACTCGTTTCTCGTATTCATGTGTTTTGTTTAATTAGAGGAATGTTATGTTTTATACTTAATATTCATTCGTAAATGTGAATCCAAGGCAGTAGGAAAATGTTGTACTTTTATTTTCCGAGCGTAAGTTAAGGAAGTATTGCAATCGAGTCGATGGGGAACTGACTACTTTCATAATTTCTCAGTATGTCATCATCACTAGCGTACAAAAACATGGGTCTCCCGTTTCCGTCCGTCTATCTGTCTGTCTGTCTAATTCACTGTCCGCCGTCTGTATCAACTGGTGTTAGGCAGATAGATAATCTCCGAAACTAACGCTTTACAATGGAAAATACGTCTTCTATCTCAGAAAATATTTTTAATTATAGACTATTCAGAATACTATGGTTTTACAAGGATTATTACAAAACTATGAAATGCATTAGTTAACTTATCCAAAATCGAAAGGTTTGAAATTTTTCTGACATTTTTATTATTGTTTACTGAGTTTTGGACCGCCATGACCATATCATATATATATATATATATATATATATACGTATCCAACCGTCGTTACCAAACCCATCATATTAAACAGACGTTACCAAGCCCGGCTGTTTTTCCGAGTATAATATAATAAATTTAATGGTTTTTGCAATAACAAACTTAAAAAAAAGTAGAGGGGTAAAATTATTCCTTGAAAAAAGTTAACACCATATTCATCCAACGTTACCAGACCCACTATGTCCAACAGCTTTCTCAGTCCCATTTCAGTATAAATAACACAGTAAACCGACGTTATCAATCCCGACACTGTTGCCACATTAAATTTATGGAAAATCGCTTCACATTGTATTGATCTGTAAAATTTCTTGTGTATCTTGAAAGTTGGATTTACAACCAGTGATGGATATGCAAAAGTGTCACAAAAGAAAATAAGGAAAACCAAAAATATATCTTATCTGCCTGTCTTTTTGACGCCATGAGTGCCATGACAAACGGATAACTCATTAATAAAATTAACACCAAGGCGATTTTTTTATTAACAGATATGCAAGTTTGATAGACATTAGTAACATTTTCTTTTTACTAGTTGTACATGTCTGTCGAGTTAGCTCAACCAAAATTTGGATACCTATTCCCACCTAAAATTTCAAGAAAATTTATAAAATAACATAATTTTACACTTGCGATTTATTAATGCAATTTTTATTTGACCTTAGGCTTACAAATTTGTAAAAAAAATGTTAGCACAAAAATTTTCTAGTTTATTTCATAAAGTTTTTAAATGATATCTAAGCTTTTCTTACACATAACATAAATCACAAATTAAGATTTTTTAATATTAAAATCCTAAAAAAATCGAAATTTTTACCACAAAATGGTACAATATGTGTTAGAAACTTTAAGATTGATTTAGAGATCTAAAATTGCATATTCTTTAAGAGTAACTTTAATATTTCAAATTATTAATTAAAAAATTTAAGAACGCTAAACTAGTAATAAAAAGACCCTCTTCAAAAGAGTTACAATGCTCCATAGCAATTATTTAATCAATACTTGTTAATAAGGGCGATTAATGATTGCCTATTAACAAACGAGTTGGTTGCAATACTTCTCCGGTGATTGCAATTTCATACACGAAACTACTAAAAATCAGTTCCAAATTTCATGATATTTATAACATTTAAATAAAAAATTTCACATCAAGTGCGCGGGGGTATATCTGATTGCTGTATTAACCCATTAATATATAAATCGATTGTTAATAGCCGTAATTAATGAATGATTTCGAGACAGAATCACCAAAAAATGTTTTTAAGCCTAGCTGGCAGCTTTAGAAGCACAGCAAAATGCTCTATAATTTTATGCAATTTTAAGCTTGTCTCTGTCTATATTGTTACATAGAAAAACATAATTTCATGAATTATCGGTAATCTTAGTGTCAAAACTCAATGCATAAAACGTTTGCAAATTTACAGGCCCTCGAAGGATCTCGATCCCTTAATAATACTTAGCGTGGCAAACGCTACAATGAAATTAGTACATGTGAAGTCCATGTGTCATTTTTAGTTTTCGTGTACATATTTTGTCTGAACCATATGAATTCTGCAAAATAATCCTTATGCTTGCTGAGACACATTTTAAGACTTTCATCTTTCTCTAGATTGTCTGTCATCTAAGTATACCGGGTGTCCCACGTAACACTTTCGGCACAGTAGAGATAACAATCAGTAGAGACAGCTCGCCGTTTTTCGTGACCCGTTTTCGTGGGTGGTCGTTCGCATTATGACCGAATGAGGGCGCCCAACTGACGTCTAAAATATTTGAAATTTGGCAGTTTTGTTACAATATTTTTGCCGGTTTTGCTTGTTTAAGACTGATTTTCCGGTAGAATTGTACAAATAGTGTAAAAATGTAATTTTCACAATAAAAGGTAAAATCTTTGTCCGATGAATTTTCATACAGGATCCCTGTTGTGCGCCTTATTCTCTCCATCGTGTTTGGAATTCTTGGAAAAGATAGTAAACATAACACACTTTTTGTTTAAAAAGTCGTCGCAAACGGACAACAACGGTGGTTATGAAATAAATAATAAAAATTTATTATATATGATTCCGTTGTTGTGGTAAAATTAAATATAAAAATAATAAGAAACAAACTACACGTAACAAAAAATTATATAAGCAGACCTTCTCTCAATAAACAATTTTTTTATTCATCATGTATATATATATATTTTTTTTTGACCTACACAATCTTGAGTTTTATTTTGAAACGTTGCTTAACCCATAAGCAGTCGCGCGTGGATAAAAATGACCCAAGCCGTACATTTTGTCAAATATCCTTTTTCGCTTAGTCCCTATGGACTTCCGGTTTCATGAATTCCTTAATTATTCTTACCTGCGTCGACCCATACCAATTACCTGCACTTTATGTGAGCCGACAAATATGAATTTTTTTTGTAATAATTTTTTTTAAATAAAAATTTTACTTTATATGATATTACGCTTACGGGTTAAGTTGTTAGGTAAAATGGGTTTGACTATATATTAATAAGACGCCTTTGCCAAGACAGACGCATTAGAAAACTGTTTTGGATGGATTAGGAAACAAAATGGAAATTCTATTAACCCCACATCTAATCAATTTCAAATGGCTTTTAGAAAATTAATCATACAAGATTATTTTGATGAAACGAACACAGGTAATCAAAACTGCGAGCCTGATATGGAAGAAATTTTAAAGTTAAATGTAGGTCGTCGTTTTGATGATGAAGAATCAGTCACCACGATGCAGAAGACCACCTTAAAAGATTGTGATTATCACTTTCACACAGCTGAACAAAACGCAATTAGATATATCTGTGGCTACCTAATTCGGAATGTTTATTAGTACACAGTTGTAGTGAATGTGAAAAATATGCAAATGAACATAAAAGTTTAGACAACAGAAGCATATATTCACATTTCAGAGCCTACCAAACGAAGAATTGCGAGTTATTTGGTAAATTATATATGCCAAACGATAATTTCTTTTTTTTTACATTTGTGAATTAGAGCAAATTTTTAGTGAAAATTTTGAAAATATAATTTTACAAACAACTATTTTGTTGAAATTTTTTAATTTATATAAGCAAGCTACATTTGTTCATCCATGCCAAAACTTTCCATACGATTATTTGCTTGCTTTGTATGCTAGGATGAGATTATTTTATGCACTAAAATTTGTAAATGCTAGCTTTAAATTTACAAATGCCAAAGGTGAAAAAATTAATAGAAAGAAAATAATTTGGCAGCATTAACTTTTTTCCTTTTTGTAATTTAATTTTTATTTTATTTATTTTTTCTTAAATAAACCTCTTTCTTTTTAGATGAATTTATTACATTATTTTTACAATGATAATTAAACCTCAAGTATTCGGGGAAAGAATGTGCGAATTGTCAAATTGTGTAAGTAATAAAATAAAAACTGTAACAAATCATCGTGTTTATAAATTAAATATCGACTTTTCTTTTTTCTTATTGCGATTCACGATTATACGATTTGGGCAAACTACACAGTTTGCAATAAATTGCGTACACGAATCAATTTTTGAAATTGTAAATGAAGTGATACTTTTTAAATTGGGTGGCGACATCTAGGAATAGTTTAGGCAACGACCACCCATGACAGCTTAAAATTCGGGTCAAAAAGAACAAAGGCGGCGACACGAGCTGTCTCTACTGATTGTTATCTCTACTGTGCTTTCGGGCACAATAACTCAGGTATTTTTGAACGGATTGTTATGAAATTTGAAATGTAGGTATTTTGATAGATGAGGATTAA